AGAGACAGTGAGAGGGGAAAAGCGTGATTGGTTAACCTTGCTTTGCATTCACAGAGGCTAGAGAACGTGCGTCTGTATTCATATGTTTGTATAATTAGACAGGAAGTCACCAAGTGGGAGAAGCAGGGCGGGGGCGATTCAGAGCTAAAAATAGACTATCGATGGACTGATTATCATAATAAAGCTCGGGGGAAGGTGGTCTCGGCGGTCTCAGTGAGTACGTATGGGAACAAGGAGGTGAGGGTGCAGGAAACCAAGTGTGTGTTTCATGCTTCACATATCATCAGAGCCGTCAGGCTGCTTTGGCAGTTTGAGACCAGGGTTACACTGAATTAGTAACTCAAATTATTATCTGAAAGGTGAACAAGCGTGATGCACTTTCATGATAATCCCCAGGTGGAATGGATGAGGAGAATTCAAACGTGCTGGTACAGATGTGCGCACCTGTCCCTCTGGGCTGAATGTATGTAACCTAAGAATCCTGTCATGGTGGAAAGAGACACATTCATCTTTTGAGTGCTTGTCTTTTCATCTCAATTGACATTTAATCATGCTGGATGCTTTGGTAGGTTCATAACTACATGTGGACATTGTGCAGCTGAGCACAAATCCCAGGGTGCTTAACTAGTTCCTATTTTTCACCCTAAATTCTATGAAACCGTGTATAAAATGATGCAAAAGACATAAAAATCTTTGTATTCAATCTAATTGTACACACATAAAATTTGAATCCCATTTTAAACTACTCAAGAGGGGAATATTAAGGGAACACTGGGTTTCAAGACACTATCCTGCAACCGTACAAACAAATAAATACTGTCCTCAAAACCCTTGTTTACCCAGAATCCTTTTCAGGACAGAGCAAGCAGAGCACCATGGCAGCAGAGTGTTTGTTTCTCGCACCAAGCACACTGCTGCTTTCTACCTATCCATCCATCCATCCATCCATCCATCCATCCATCCATCCATCCATCCATCTTATCAAATTACATTCCTCTATTATCCTTTCTCATTCTCTCGTTCCTCTTGTTTCCAATTTACCTCATTGCACTTCCATCCATTTGTTCCTCTATCTGTGCTCTTTGTCACCATTACTCTCTCCCTGTCTTTTTTAATCCGCTCCCTCTCCCCCTTGTTATCCTCCTCTCTTCTTTTGTCTCTCCTTCAAGCTTCGTCTCGCACTTTAGTCTCACATCTCATTCACTCCTGCCGTTAACCCTTCCTCTTCCTTGTCCTTCTTCCCAGTTCGCAGACGTGTGACAGCAGGTCTATTAGAAGGGTATGATCGAGCACACGCGCACACAGACATCCTTATTTACACTACCAAGCCCAGGCTGCAGATTCAGCGATGCAACATGGCAACACTCTGACAGGAGCGTCTGCTACCACGACAACCCGTCAGTGCCTGGCAACGCAGCCTTGCCATGGTAACAAGCCGCAACATCTACATTTGCTGTAGAAAAATAATATCTATGCCGGGTATGACACCCGGCCGTTTTGCATACACAGAGGTTTTCTAGTTACAGACTCAAAGGTCTTCAGCTTGAGCTTTTTTGCTGCAGGTCTGTGCTTCCTCGCACTTCATCAATCAATTACTGTCACAGCTCGGCCACTGACTGACACTCACACCTGGTAACCTCAGAGCGATTCAGACGGTTTATAAGTGGAAAGGTTTGACTCCAATGGGGGCTGAACCCTGAGAGGAAGGGGGACTTGGTTATACAGTCCGCCAGTGTAAATCACTCTCCGGACGGATGTGAGATTGGGCTATACAGTATATATATATATATATATATATTGAGAGAGAGAGAGTTTAGCCCTAAACTCTCACGTAAAGAGTTAAAAGCAGATTGTTGTGATACACACTATCTTCCAGAGTACTCTTCAGAGACAGCTTTAAAGCTTTAAAGGCTGATTGAGCTGAGATCTGGTAATCTAGTTTACATACAGCAAGTTGGGCTGGGCAACATATCAGTGTACAAAGTAGAAAACTCATGAATGTATTAATCACTCAGTAATTTACATTTGCTTGGTAAATAATATGCCATTTTATGGGGGTCAAGAAATAGCCTGGCACATAACCTCGCCCCACCACACAGCAAATTGTTTTTAAATGTATTTTGTTGTTCAGATTAAAGAAACAATATTTAAATAACTAGTTAATAAGTGAGCTTTAGAGATGCTGGTAGATGGGTTTGATGTTCTATATTGAGCTTGGCTAACTGTTAACTCTTACAGGCTCCTGGCTCCAACTTCATATTTACCAAACAGACATAAGAGCAGTGTCAATCATGTCATTTAACTCTTGGCAAAAAAAGCAAAAAGGCTGTTTCTAACAAGGTCTAACGATAACGTTCACTACAAAGTTCAAGGAATTGTGCAGAATTATGAGTGCTGGGCTGTTTCTCTTTATCAGGACAGAAGGAATTGTGTCTGTGGCATCAAGCACTGAAAACTGTTAAATATTCTTTACTCATTCTTTAATCAAGTGCTAAAATGTTAAGTTGGATTATTCAATTGACAGAAAATGGATCATTAACAGTGTTGACAACCATTTTGGTCATTTATTAACCAAAAATGTCATTTAAACATTGGTTGACTCCTGTTTTTAAATGTTAGTAATTGTATCTGTGTAGGGTGCGTTTTGGAGATTTGGTGACAAAAACGAAATTTTAACAATTTTAAAATATCAACTGGGAAATTGTGATTGGCATTTTTCCTGTTTCTTCACATTTTATAGACTAAATGTTTAATCAATGATTTATACAAGATTTAAAAAATCTAAAGATGAATATCATAGATCATTATTTCAGCCCTACTTTGTTTAGATGTACCCTAATTTAAAATCATATTTCTGTTATTGTACCGCTGTTTGCGTTAAGTCAAAACTACATATGGTCTGAGAAGTTGGGTTAATTTTCTTTCGAGGGTTTTGCTGCACGCTATGTTTGTACAGAAGAGATTTCCAGGGAATGAAAACGAATGAAAACTCCTCCAACGGGAAACCTGGTAAGCACAGAGTTAATTCAGGTTAGAAACAGATGCATCATGTCTGGAGTTTCATCCATAAAGTGTCTGTCTGTCAGGCCCACTAGTGGCTGTAAAGACAACTGTGTTGCTCAGTGGGTCAGCGTTAGCAGAGCTGGTAACATTGAGAAATGACTCCTGTACTGATGTCCTGAAGTGATGGAAATCAGCTCCGATAGGCTGAAAAGCACCTTTATTAGTCTGCAGAGCTGACTGACGCAGGACGACATTGGGGGTCATGATGATGTACACACACAAAGCTGGTGTGTGGTGTTTGGTATGCAATGTGTGTGTGTGTGTGTGTGTACGTGTGTATCAAGAGGTTAAGATTGACCCGAGTAAACAGTCGAGCTCTCTGAGGTGTCAGCTCTTACTGACTATCACATGGCGGGTTGCTTGCTGAGCACCTGGCTCATCACTGCACATTAATCTGATCTTAGTAGTAGCACTGACAGAGACGTGGAGCTAGGATGGCGAGGAGGTAAGACTGGAGACAGGAACACAAATGTGAATATAAATATAAAGGGCTTCAGAAGAACCTCGTTTGTGATTAGCTGCTGAGGGAGAGGATCATACCTGTACAGAGCATGCAAAGCACTTTACAAACATAATCAATTCATTAGTCATGTTCAATATTTGCGATTTTCACTTAATAAAAATATCATTCCCTTGCAGTTTCTTTCATGTGGAACAACATTAATCCAGTGTGCCAATCAAACAGCAGGGAGCACAGAAGCACATCAAAGCATGTCAGCCAGCCCTTTAGCAGGAGCAAGCCAGCAGGAAAATCACCCCTTTAAGGAGAGAGTCCCTGGGGGATGATGTATTTCTCTCTCATAGAGAGGCAAGCACACACAACCTCAACAGAGAATGGCGTGTAAAACTCATTATTTATCAGTTCAGCCTAATAAATCTCGGCACACAAACAGAATAATCAATGCCTAAGTGTAAAAAAACATATATGTGCATGTACATTCACAGAAACACAATCAATTTGCCACAGAAACACACACAGAAGAAATGAATCTTTTCTTTATCACCTCATCCAACTTCACTGTAATATAATCATCATGACAATCATCCGCATCCAACTTTCATCACTCCTCTTCCTCTCCCATCATCATCAGTCAAAGTATTTATTCAGGGTTAAAGCCCACTCACATTCATATCTGTTACTCTAAAAGGTATATCTATGAACATGATTTAAGAATACATAACTAATGAATGTGTTCCAACTACAAAAACTTAAAAAAAAAAACTTGGTTCTTGGTTAAATTTCATAACACAAATTTGGATGCAAAAATCATATATTTTTCTTCAGTCAGTCAAAAAGAAAAAGAATTACACACATGGTGTGGGAGAATTGGTAGCTCACAGTAGTCTAACTTTACTACAACAGCACATAGGCCTGCCGGAATGTCTTCAAAGTGTGACACACATTGACCAGCTGCTTTCATTTACCTTTGGTAACTGTTTTACAACTATTGAAAGCCATTCACTCTGAAGTTTACATCTACAAAGACGGAAATTAAATGTTTTTGACAAGTTTCGACGAAAATGTCAGATTAAAATTCAATAAGCAGGGAGATCTTTGAAATCATTTGGGAGCTGGACCATGCAGGAAATAAACGATGAATCAGAAAAGAGAAGAGATCCTCACTTAGTCATTCATAGAGTCTCTCATGCATCTACATACAGTTTGTATACCGGTTGTAATATCGTTGGGAAAAAAGCCCTTTGAGAAATATTGACAGCATTCTGGTAGTTTGATTATTTGGTTCATGCCAAGCTGTTTTGTTAAACTGTATGATGGTGCAGAGAGAGAACTCAAAAATGAATAATAGCATGCAAGTAAACATTTTGTCGACAGAACTTTGCATTCAAATTTCCTGCATGTATCAAGGTTAAAAGGTGTCATCTCCTCCCATCATCAGGATAGCCATCTTCATTACTGAAATCATTATCAGACTGACCTGCTGACCGATCCTCTCAGCCCTATCACAGTCCTTAGCACCGTGGCCACGTTCCTCCTCAACATCTTTATCTGCTCCTCCTCTGCAGTCTCCAGAGGAGGGTTCCCTGTCGGAGGCTGCAGAGCTGCAGGGCAGCATGCGTCCGGAGCAGTGGATACGAAGTGACAGAAGCTGCATGTATTTATAGGCTATCTTAGAGAAACGTGCTGCTCACTGTTGAAGCTATTTATAGAGCCTTTTACTGATGCCTCTGAGTAGTGTGGAGAAGGCGGTTCTCTGGGGAATGACTTACGAGGCTCCCTCATATCTCCCACCTCCCCCATTCAATGCACGTCCACTCTTCTACTCCCTACTCTGCTCTGCTGATCCCTCCAACCTCTTGCATCCACTCTCGCCTTCTCAATTTCCATCCTCTGTTCGCTCTCTTCCTCCCTTTCAAATCTCCCCTGCCGATCCCCTCATCTTAACCACCTCCCTTCCTGTCTTCTCCACTTCTTCCATCTTCTCACAGAGCCTCTTTGCTCGTGTCCACATTTCCTCCCCTTTCTCTTTCTGTTTACTGTACTGCCACATCTCTGCTTCCCCCAAAATATTTTCCACATCTTCCCACTTCTTTAGCCCTATGTCACTGTCTTATACTCTCAGTTACATTCCTATCAAAGAGAGAGAGAGAGCCGAACCATCAGAAACTCTTCTCTAAATTCCTCAACAGCAGGTGCTCCGGGACAAGAAGAAGAAGAAGCTTATATTCGTTTTTTGAAGTGGTCAAGTAATCCCTGTGAATGAAGTGAAATGGTGCTGGCAAACTTCTTATCTTAATGGCTTAAGAAGTAAGAAAGACTATTAAACTGACAATCTTATAAAATATTTCAACCTGTAAACTGTGAGGCCAATCTGAAGTTATTTTCCCATCCCTCCCAAATTCTCAGAAAAAACAGCCAATCCTTGAGCCAAGTGATGTAACAGGATGCAGGAGTTGACGTTAGCATGTGAGCCTTCTAGCTGTATGGAAACATCCGCGCGCACACACACACACACACACACACACACACACACACACACACACACACGTCCTTCAATGTGACAGCATGGTGTGATGCAGAGTGGCGTCTGCTTGTCAAGCTGACAGACTCGCACTGACAGCATGGTCAGAGCGATGCAGACACTGGAGAAAAACACTGATTTTGTAACGCTCCAAACCACAACAACAAACAGCCTGCCGGGGACGAGCGGCGCAGCTCTCAGAACCATCATCCCTCTTTTCTAGCCGCCTGATGCTGTGTCACTTTGATGGTTGAGCAAAGCAAGGCTCCAGAATGCGACCAAAATGATTTTGGTGAGTGTGTGAGATCAAATTTCAGATGTTTGAGTGCATGATGACATTATCATTGATGTCCCCTCCAGACAGGATACACCAGCCACTGTCTATTCAATTCTAGCCTCCAAAGTCTCGTGCTCGCGAGGATGCTTTTGCGCTCGCTCTGCGCGCTTGTATCACATACATACTCCTGTTTTTTATGTGCGCGAGTTGAGAGTAATTAAGCATGTACGTAGCAGTGCACAGAGCGTGATGCGAATGCATGTAGCGTAACGGAACATTTCAGCCGTTAACGCGTTCCAAAAATCAAGCGGCCTATAGCTGATTATTTTAAAAGTCCAAATGAGAGAGAGGAGGAGGCTGATGGGGAGGGAGATACATGTTCTGACTCAGAGGCCACTGGTGACCAAAGTGACTGAGCATTATTATATACGATAATATTTGATTATTATTATTAATGCAGAAACATGTCAGATGTATTTTAATGTAGTTAGAATGTTTCCGTCTGACATGCAGTGGAGTAGAAAGTAGCATCAAAATTGTACTTCAGTACAATAATTAATTACGTTCCACCACTGATTAATACCATGCTGTAAGAAAACAGTGTTACCAGTGGAAAGGCTGGTCTGGAGCCACGAAGTCATGCAATGAAACATCCTCATATGCAGTGGATGACCTGCTGACCAAAGGCAAATTAAATCACATTGCTGAGATTAAGCCGCATTTTGTGAATCACTGTAATATCACATGTATTTCAAAGCTGCTGGGCAGGTGGTCTATGAATCGGAATTTAGATAATCTTCATTACAATGTATCAGCTTTGTCAAGTGATAGGCAGTTAATTATGGGGATGTCATTACCGCGCGCACATCACACAGAACAACTGACTTTTCATTCTCACAAAGGGCTGCGAGGCGGCTACAATTGAAACGTGGTGACGAATAGGGCTGTCACAATCATGAACTTTAGTTGACGATTGCCATACAAATAATTGGCAATTTGAGATGAATGATTTAATTGTCTTATTGTGTTCACTTTATACCACAGTGGTGCTGTTGTTTGGATTTGCAACTAGACATAAATCCATGTTGTGAATTTCAATAGCTGCTCATCGGAGTGATGCGATCATTGGCAAAGGTGTTCATTAGTCATCAGATAGTTTGCTGAAACAATGTTTCACCTCGGGCTCTGCTGCACATAGATTTAGCTTGCTGTAAAGCTGTTGTGTAGGCTGACCAAATGTAACACAAGGGTGGTTCAAGACAATAGGAGGAAGCTTGACTTTATTTTCAAATGTTAATATGAAACAGAGAATCACAAAGCCTGTATTAACTGTTCCTGATTTCGTTGTTTTGCCTTCAGGGTTGAAGTTGCTCACGTTGCACTGTACATTTACTACCGGTCTGCTCTGAGCGTATCCACCGTCACTCTCTCTCTCTCTCTTGATTGATCATACACTGGTACTATGCACTATTTCTAAACTGACCCACTTTATTCTTAAAACACAATTTTTCCAAAACATTTTAATTCGAAATATATAATTCAAAAAGCTATGGAAGCGACAACTCCGGCATAACTTTCCCCAGAGCTGTCAAACACACTGCTGCACCCATAGGGGAGACTCAAGAGAGCTATTATGGACACCTCTCTGTCATTATTTTGCTTTCCAACAGCAGTAAGATCTAGACAGCCAAGCTCTCTTTTTCCATGTTTGTTTTTTCCTCACATTGGAACTTTGGGCTCAGGTAGACTCTGTATTTACCCAGCGTGTACACATCTAATTTACTTTCTTTTTGTTGCCACATTTGTAACATTGGCATTAAGTTCCCTTAAATAGCGGAAATTCAAAGGTTATACAAGATGATTGTGGCCAGCTATAATTGCGATCAGGCAGTTACAGAATAATTCCAAAATGCCCAGTGGCGAAACTATATGGTTTATGGTACCAAAAGGGGCCCATAGCGTGACAGGGCTGAAGGCTGTGAGGAACCTCAGCCGGTCCCCATCACCTCAGTTGTCACCATGTCAGTCCGCCTTCGCTGCACTATTACACAGCCAACAAGCAGAGATGGATAGAAAATAGCAATGGGAAGGAGAAGGAAAGTGGGTTATCTGGAGTTAGTTTTGTAATTGAAAGGTAGTGAAAATGTGATGGTGGTGACCAAGAGAAATCAAAGAGGCAGAGAAGGAGGGAGAAGCAGGGGGAACATGAGAGAGAGCAAAGAGTGATAGCAGAGAGATGAAGACGACAGGAGAGAGGGAGGGAGGAGAGGAAGGAAAGAGAGGCTCAGGACTGTGCAGCTGTGGGAGCGTATCAAACAATCACTTCTGTGTCAGCGACTCAACACACCGGCAGAGGACATCTAGCATAGTAGAAGAGCTCAGCCAACACAAGAACAACTATCTCTGACGTCAAAACCTAGCTTTGCTTTCTCTGTTCGCGAACAGCCAAAGGGCTAGTTGATTCAACTCAACCACCTTTACCGAGTTAAAAAAACACACCTATGACTGAGTTAACAGAGGATTCTGAAAAATGTCAAATGAGTACAAATCCCTTTAACGAACATCAAATCACAGTGCAGCAGTCCACATGCCGCATGAAAGGAGTAACATGTGTATTCTGCAGAGTCGAGCATCGGAGCAGTTTCAGGTCTCCAGAGAAGCTGATTCACGAGCTGCTTGTTGTACTGAGAGCAGGCAGAGCTGCTGGGGACAGCATCCCCTCAATGTAAATCACGACAATGACATCATTGCCCAACAGGCACGCGCACTGATAACACGATGTAAACACAGATTCCACATGCAACACACAGGCATGACGTTTATGTGTGAGGATTTGAAAGATGTGTCTTTTATTTGTGTAAAACTATAAGAGACACTAATGTACATCGTAGAGAGTGACGCGGTGTCTTTGTGTATCCGCGTGTGTGTTGTGCATGTCTAGCGTGTGCTGGGGGGGGGGGGGGGTGTAGGGCGTCAAGGCAACGCAGGCCTCGAGACAAGAGGGTGGTTGCCGTGGAAACCTCAGGCTGAGAGCTCAGCAGCCGGACGATTGACTGAGAGGAAGGAGCGATAGACGGGCAGAGACGGAGAGAAAGAGTGTGATGTAAAAACACAAGGGCAACGTCCCACAGGCAAGGGACCACTAAAAAAAAGAGAGAGAGAATTAAAGAGAGCTGGAGGGTGAAATTATATCTATGAAAGAGAGAAAAAACAATGACAAAGAGATCAAAGAGGAATGAATGAAAGCCAGAAGACAGCAGAGAGGCGGGTGATGTGGACTCACAGGGAACGGTGCGGAGGTAGAGGTTGTCTCTGATGATCTGCTGGTGGTCGTGGTCCACTGAGCCCTTGGAGAAACGCAGGTTGAGGTAGTGCCGCAAATCCTTGTCAACCACCCCACCTGAACACAAACACGGGAAGAGAGAGATTAGAGCTCGCTTTCATTTGATAACATGACACGCCGAACCTATAGCCTGACTTTTTGTTGGAGTAATATCCAAGTATTTCATTGAGTTTGGTTTCAATTGGCTCTAGATCAATTGTGATGCAAGTCACACTGTATTGGAAACAAGTGAAAGGCTCTCGCTCCACTGGAAGAACAAGCAGCCTGCCGACGAGGCCGGTCATTACACTCATTCTGTGCATCTAAAACACGCTCAAACCCACAGAACATGAACATTAAAAAAAAGCAAACATTATATTGCTTCAACAAAGAGTTGGTACAAGCTGATACAGAATGCACAGTTTGTCCCAACTGTTAGACGTTGAAGAAGAAGACATTGAAGAAAGATGATTTTTAACAACCTTAAAACTCCTT